AAACCACGATCGCTCGAACCTGAGCGAACGCTTCAGCACTAAACTCAAAGCAGACCATTCAGACCAGCCAGGCCAGATGCAAAAAGAACTAACATGCAACACAACATGCAACGCAAAACAATCAGCAATACAACAACCAGTGTTTCGGTGGTAGTGGTTGGCGCTGCCTCCCTGGACCTCCCCTAAAACCAATCTCGGCCGAGTTCTAAGCTAAAGCTTCAGCACTAAGCCCAAAACAGACCAACCAGACCATATTCAAGCAAGACTGCAATGCAAAAACAACTTGCAAAGAACACAACAAAACGGCACTGCAACACCACGTGCTTTTTCGGTGGTAGTGGTTGGCGTTGCCTCCCTGGACCTCCCCTAAACCACTCTCGCCCGAGTCCCAAGCTAAAGCTTCAGCACTGAGCTCAAGCCAGACCAACCAGACCAGCCAGACCAGATGCAAAAACAACTGCAATGCAAAACACTTGTGTTTTAGGTGGTAGTGGTTGGCGCTGCCTCCCTGCACCTCCCCTAACCACTCTCGCCCGAATCCTGAGCTAAAGTGTCAGCGCTAAGCTCAAAACAGACCAACCAGACCAGCCAGACCATATTAAAAAGACTACGATGCAAACATAATATGCAAAAAAACACAAAAACGGCAATGCAACACCAATTGTTTTTCAGTGGTAGTGGTTGGCGCTGCCTCCCTGGACCTCCCCTAAACCACTCTCGCCCGAATCCCATGCTAAAGCTTCAGCACTAAGCTCAGACCAGACGAACCAGACCAGCCAGGCCAGATCTGAAGTTTCAAGCGCCAGCTTCAGGCTGAAGCTTCAGGCTTGCACTTTTGAAGCCCGGAGTCCCGCCGCGCGCTGCAACGGCCAAGAATTTTATGATGACATGGTCGCCTGCCGTGTAGTCGGCGCAATCTCCCCACCTGCAGGGGCCTCCGTGCTGACAGCACGAGACTCCGTTGTGGTCCGTGGCTGCCCCCGAGGCCGCCAGAGTGGCCAAGACGATGTCGATGCAGCGCGACTGCCTTGCCTGGCAGTGACGCGCGTCGCCAGGGCGGATTCGGACGGGCCGACGACGAAGGGGGAGGGGGGCTTCCTGGGACTTCCTGGGACTTCCTTCCGACGACGAAGGGGGAGGAGGAGGAGGAGGAGGAGGAGGAGGAGGAGGAGGAGGAGGAGGCCCACGATGGGATTGAGGTGGCGGAGATGCCACTCGAGGGCGAACTGGGACGGCGCTCTCGTCCTGGCCCCGGGCACGGGCCCCGACCACCGCGCACGTCGTCCGGCCGGAGGTCGATGCCCCCCCCCGCGATGGCGACGGGCGCTTCCCCAATGACGTACGGCTCGTTTCGGGCGAGGAGAACTACACACATGCACCGATCCTGGCAAGGCCCGTCCTTGACCCACCCAGGATCGGTGCATATACCTTCCTGGCCAAGGTAGCGGGCGTATGCACCGGTCCTGGGCTCAAAGTGGGCCTGGCCAGAGTCGGTGTATGTGCATAGTTTTTTTTTCTCTCTCACTGTGCAGAACGCAGAGGTCGTCGTTGCGACGGCGTTCCGGCGCAGCTCCCTCGCCGAGGCGCTCTTCTCCGGCGGTCGGCACTGCTCTCGGTACGAACGGCCCTCCAGAGGAGGAGGAGGAGGAGGAGGAGGAGGAGGAGGAGGAGGAGGAGGAGGAGGAGGGAGGGGGACAGGGAGGAGGAGGAGAGGAGGAGGGGAGACGGAGGAGGAGGAGGAGAGGAGGAGGAGGAGGAGGAGGAGGAGGAGGAGAGGGAGGAGGAGGAGAAGGAGAAGGAGAAGGAGGAGGAGGAGGAGGAGGAGGAGGAGGAGAAGGAGGAGGGAGAGGAGGACGACAACGTGGAGGAGCGGCACTGCTCTCGGTACGAGCGGCCCTCCGGCGTGCGACCTGCCCGCCAGCTCCGCGGGGAGGGCCAGGGTGCGGACGGCGACGAAGCCTTGCCGCGGGAGAGGTCCTTGCACCACCCTCCTCCTCCTCCTCCTCCTCCCTCCTCCTCCTCCTGCTCCTCCTGCTCCTCCTGCTCCTCCTCCTCCTCCTCCTCCTCCTCCTCTGCACGCTCGGTGCTGCGGCCGTGGGCCCGTGGGTCGCCACGTGCTGCGCCCGCGCTGCGCAGAGCTCTGGCGTCTGGCGGCTCCCCGCGCGCAGCAGCTTCCATACGCTCGTGGTCGCTGACTGGCGCGATGTTCACGTCGACTCTGCGCACCGGGGCATGCATCCATGGCGGTTCGAGGTCTTCGGGCTCTTCGATTTTGGGGGCGTGCTTTACCGCCACGTCCACCGTCTCCGCCACAAGAGTCAGAGTCCGGGACCGTGGTCGGGCCTGAGCATGCATCCAGTGAAGCACCTGGTCTTCCCCCTGCACCCACTCCACTTCCTCGTCAACAAGTTCCACGCTGACCTCCCCCCGATTGCTGGGCACGACGTGCATGCGGGGGCAGCAAGTTCCACTTCATCCACCATTCGCAGTTGGACTACAACTACGGTACGCCGATGGTTCCTTTGGACGTGTGGTTCGGGACGTACGAGGATGGGAGCCGTTTCGAGGGTATAATACAGTCGGAATATCGCGTGAAGAGAGTTCGATGGAGATCGTGCCTCATGCAAGCGTCGATAGATCTGAAGTAAGTTGGCCACGGGTGGCATTCATTGTCAGGCTGGGGCTTCGCCAACTCGATTTGTTTGTGAACATCTTTCCAGCGAGAGAGCCGTTCCTGATTTCGGGAGTCTCTCTGGCCAGGGCGTCTCGGTCTAGAGTCTAACTTGTGAGGGCGTATCGCGCGGGAGCAGTTGCTGTCGTAGTTGCGGTGGCTTTGCGCTACTTTGGACGAATTGCCAGGAGGTCTCGAGCGAGAGCGCCATTCCTCATTTCGGGGGCCTCCCCTGCCAAGGCTTCTCGGAGTACACCGTGATAAAGTATCGAGAGGGACCTGTCGACGTCGCAGCTGGGCAGTTGCCAGCTCCAACGAGTTGCGGGGGGGCTCTTGGGTGAGAGCGCCGTTCCTGAGTTCGGAAGACTGTCTGGCCAGGAACGTCGTCCTGGAGTAGATTTCAACGGCGAGCAGGGGGGGGGAAAGTGGTAAGGGCATGGCCTTCTCAGAAGGCGGCGAGACTTCTCAGAAGCCCTCGCGCCTTCGGAGAAGTCTTCTGCATCTTCGGGGAAGGCTTAAAAAAGACTTGTCAGAAGGCCGGGGGACTTCCGAGCCTTCTGACAAGGCATTCTCCCTCGCTCGCCGCCGAAGATTGGGAGCACGTATCGAGCGGGAACAGTCGTTGTCGTAGCTGCGCCGTCACCGGCTCGAACGAATTGCGGCGAGACGTCTCGGGCGAGAGCGCCGTCCTTGAGTTCGGGGGTCTCTCTGGCCGGGGCGTCTAGGAGTACATACACTGTGAGGGCGCACCCATAGGGAGCCGTCCTCGTTGCACAGCTTCACGACGTTGCCAGGAAGTCGTGGGCGAGGGCGCCTTTAGTTCGTTTTGGGGCCTCTCTGTCCACGGCGTCTCGGAGTGAACTGTGAGGGAGCATCGGTTTCACAGGAGATGCAGCCAGCATTCGAGGCGACAGCGCCCGGAACCGTTTGGTGGGTTCAGATGCCTCTTGGGTAACTTTGGGGATCTCTCGGTGGAGGCCTCGCGCAAGCTTCTTGGAAGCGGTTGTGGGGTGTCCGTGGGGCTTCCCAGGGATCTCTTCGGGCCCGCCGAGTCTTGGCGGTGTCCGGAAAAGGGCGCATGGCGTGAAGCGCCAATGCAGTCTTGAGTATATATATATATATATGTTGGTAAATAGATCTATTTGTGTGTATATCGATATGCAACCAAGCATACAAACATATAACAACATGTACGCACATTATCTATTACACACACGTGTACACATTCGTACACAAGGCTGCATTGGCGCTTCGCGCCATGCACCTTGGTCCTTGAGGTTTGAATTATGTTGGTCGTTCGCGCCATCTCTAGTGGCCTTAGAAATTTGGCACCTTCCCTGCGGTGGTTTTCGGAAGGCTTCAAACATTCAGGCGGTCCGCGGCCCTTTCCGGGCCTCTGGGTGCCCCCGAAAGGCGCCGGGTGGAGGGCGAACGATAGGAGGGAGGAGACCTCGGGGAGCGAGGAGAGAGAAGCGGATGTGGGGGAGAACGAGTGGTGGAGCGGCAGCAAGAGGAGGAGGATGAGGAGGAGGACCCACAGAGGAGCAGGAGGAGGGGAGCAGATGGTGCCGTCGGGGGACGGCGAAGAATCTCGGTTGCGCCGCACCGAGGAATGATGAGGAATGGCAAGCCACGCGAACGAATGCCAAGCAAACCGACGCAATGCTGCACAATACATAGCGATGCCAAGCCGAGCATATCATGCTGCAGCGGGACGCAACGGGGCACGCGAAGGTAGGCAGTTCCTAGGCAATGCGCCGAATCGTGGGTTCGCAGCAGATTTCCTGGAAGTGTGGTTGCGAACCCGAGATCCGAGTCAGTTCGGTGGGTCAGAACGCCGTGTGGGCCTTAAGTCGAGCCCGGGCGGGCCGGCTTGCGGCCCTCTCGCGCCGTCCTGGGGCCATTTGGGGCCGTGTTGGGGAATGTGGGCCCTCTAGGGACCTTGCGGGGGCCTACGTGGGCCTTCTTGGCGGCCTCCCATGGCATTTTCGGGGGCCTCCCATGTCCTTCTTGGACTTCTCTTGGGGGCCTTACGAGGGTTTGCTTGGCTTCTTTTCGGCATATTTGGGGGGGTCCTCGGGCAGCCTTGGGGCCATCCAGGCCGTCCAGAGGCTTTCTTGGGGGTCTCTTGGGCCGTCTTGGGCCGATACTGGAGGCCTGTTTGGCTGTTTTGGGCACTGCTAAGACCCGAGCAGCGAATATGCTGAAAACGTATGTTTGCCAAATGAAACAGATGCAGCGATTTCTGCATTATCCTCCTCCTCCTCCTCCTCCTCCTCCTCCTCCTCCTCCTCCTCCTCCCCCGTCCACCCCCAGCCCGTCCGGCAAGGCCTTCCACGCCCAGCGGCCCGAGGAGGCCGCGGCGCCGACGTTCCTGCCGCAGGCGGGCAGCGAGCGGGCGGCCGAAGGGGAAACCTGCGCGGCATAAGCGCGGAAACGTTCGGAGGCCCGCGCGGAGTCGCGATGAGCACAGTCAGGAGCCTTCCGCCTCCCGAAGGAGAAAAACGCCATACCTAAGAACGTAAACTGTTGGCGCTCCGCGCGGGTTTCTTGGGTCCGCGCTGGGCCACCCCCAGCGGCGCCTCCGGCGCCGCCCCTGGCACGCTCCGCGCGCCAGGGAGGGGGGTCCAGCGCAGATCCAAGAAACCCGCATGGAGCGCCAGCAGTTTAAGATTATTGCGTGTGTGATCTTCTTCTGGCCTCGGAGGCCGGGGAGGAGGGGGAGGTGGAGGAGCAGAGCGATCACGTGAACGGACACGAGCTTTCGGAGTGCGTGGGTGTGCCGCCCTTGCTCGTCTAGAGTCCAGGCGAGGGGGGTTCAAGACTCTGGACGTGGCGAGGCCCGCATGCCCGGGCCGAGGCCCAGAGAGGAGCACGGGAGATGGCAACACACGAGACGACAGCACGACGGTGGCAGCGGGTAATTAGGGGGATCTGTGGAGGATGAAGGCGAGGATGAGAGGAGGAGGGGGAGGAGAAGGAGGAGGAGGAGGAGGAGGAGGAGGAGGAGGAGGAGCAGAAGGAGAAGGGGGAGGAGGAGGAGGAGGAGGAGGAGGAGGAGGAGGAGGAGGACCTTCCTTGACCTCCGGGATTGGGCACGGCAGGTTCGCGCCGTGTCGTTGAGGCGGCGTCTCCAGCGCGGTCGTGCAAGGTGGAACGCCCCTGGTGGCCTGGGACCTCTCGACGTCGAAAGATCTGCGCGATCGGGCCGCCGTGACCTTTCGGGATTCAACGAAGCACGCGGCGTCAGAAACAAGCGCCGAGGTTGCCTCGACACGATCTTGCCGTGTGCAGGAGGATGCGGAGGATGCGAGAACTCAGGAGGATAAGAAGGACGAGCGGGGGGGAAAAAGATGAGGAGGAAGGAAAGGAGGGGGATAAGGGACGGGGGAGGGGCACCATCGCCTCTGACTGCAGTCTGTTCGTGAACGATTCGCTCAAACTACTTGCCCGGGCCGCGCATGGACACTTTACGACAAGATGCCGTGCCGGACGCTTGCTTCGTCAAGCCTCTGCCGCTGGCCGCTGTAGCATCTTACTCAGGAGCCTTGCGGCACTCCGCCGACCGCCAGGAGAGCGCAGACGTCTACGGGGGGGGGCCGGTTGGGGGCCTCTTGGGGGCCCTATGGGGGCCTCTCTTGGGCTTCTTTTTGGGGCCTCTCCAGGCCTCTTTCGGAGGTTGATAGACCTCCTAGCCTGACACGTCGATTAGTGAATTGGTCGTTTTCGGTTCGCGAGATGCGTCGCGGCCGTTATTTTTGCGGGTCCAGCTCCGTCGGTTTCGGTCCCAGGCCGTTTTCACGAAAGGGAGGTTTACTAAATGGAGCTTTGTCCACCGCCGACTCTTGGAAGCTCCTTGGGCGCATGCTGGTGGTCTCGGGGGTCCTTGTGGCGGAGGGCCGGCATGTCGCTTCGCCTCTCTTTGGCCCCTCTTGGGGCCCTGTTGGTGTTCTTTGGGGCCATCTTGGGCGCCTCTTGGGCCGTCTTGCGAACGTCTTCGGCCATCCTGGGGCCCTCTTTGGGACTTATGGGCTCCTCTTCGAGCGATCTAGGGGGCATCTTGAGCCGTCTTGGACGCTGTTAGGACCCAAAAATGCGAATATGCTGGAAACACGCCTGCTTCGACGACGACGAAGACGACGACATCGTCTCACACACGCCGATCGGTAGGCGGATTTTGTTCACGTGGCCGGTTTTCACTGAAAGGCGTGGGGTTCTGGGCGGCAGCGACCTTCGTCCAGTCTTTCCAGCTTCTTGATGCGTTTGGAAGTTTTCCCTTTCAGCGTCCAGATATGTTTTATTCTCTTGCACAGGGTGTCTAGAGCTTCGACCACTTTTATTCCGCGTCGCACGCGCACACCCCTCCCCCCCGCGTCCCCAGCGCCAGAGTGGGACCCCCGCGCCGTGGCTCTCTGCCCCGAGCCCCCCCTTGTCCCCAGCGCCCCAGCGGGAGCCCCGTCCATTGCCCCCTCCGCCACGAACGCTTCATTCCGCGTCGCACCCCCCCCCCGCGTCCCCAGCGCCAGAGTAGGACCCCCGCGCCGTGGCTCTCTGCCCCGAGCGTCCCCGCGTCCCCAGCGCCCCAGCGGGAGCCCCGCCCACTGCCCCCTCCGCCACGAACGCTTTATTCCGCGTCGCGACGCACACCACCTCCCCCACCTCCCTCCCCGCGTCCCCAGCGCCCCAGTGGGGGCTCCGCCCCGTCTTAGTCGGAGCTCCCTACTATGGGGCCACGAATTGTGTAAGGTGTCTGCCGAAATGAGGCGGTGACGCCGTGCGGACCGCGGCATGTGGGTCTTTAGCCTGAGGTCCCTATGGGGCCACGAAGCATGTGAGGGGTGTGCCGAAATGGATCGGCGACGCCATGCGGACCCTGGCAGTTGAGCCTATGTTAGGGAGCTGCGAAGGGCAGCGGAGGGCAGAGGCACGGATCGGAGGAGGGAGGAGGGGGAAGAGGAGGAGAAGGAGGACGAGGAGGAGGAGGAGAGGTGGAGGACGCGGGGCGTTGTCTCTTCAAAACGAGGACCCAACACCACAGGATGGTTGGGCATAAGTGGGTTCGGCGTTGTGTGTGTTGTGTGGGTTCGGCGTCTTGTGTGAATCGCCCATTGATCGCCGACAGGGGCCCGATAGCCCCAACCTGCCCAGGAAGGTGCGGATTCGCTATCGGAGGCCTATCGCAGACCTATCGGCGATGCATCGCCGATTCCAGGTCGATGCATCCCCCCCATATGCCAGTTCCCCCCTATCGTTGCCCCTTCGACCACCCACCCCGCCACCGTCCAGGCCTCCCAAGTGGGGCCGGAGTAGATGTCTGGTTGACCCACAAGGGGGTCCAGCGAAAAGGGGGTGGTGCAATAGATTTGGTGCGATAGATTTGTGGGGGTGCCATAGACTTGGGGCGTGCAGTAGTACATTCTGGTGCGGAGATGTATCGCTGGGTTTTCGCGTGCAATACATGAGTTGTAATACAATGCGATACAGTTCTCCGGCGCAACACATTTGCATGACAGTTGCCCCAAATCTATTGCACCACCCCCTTTCAGCTGTACCCCTTTTTGGGTCAACCACAAGATGGGTCGGAGGATCACGGCGCATCGGCGATGCGGCTCGATGTGGAGCTCAAGATTCTCCACGCGAACGGCGCCGATGCGTCGCCAACCTCGGCGGTGCATCGCCGATGCATCACCGACGTATCGGCGATGCGGCGCGATCCTCCAGACCAATCCCCAGAAGCCCGAGGTTTTGATTGTTTCTGTTACTTCGGGGTTCCCAGAAGTCCCGATTCCTTCCCCAGGGCTGATTTTCCATCTCGAGCTGTTATCTGTCGGTCCCCAGGGCCAGGCGAGGGCCCCCGGAGGCCGAAAACTGCCAGAACCCTCCTGCCGCGATTTGTGGCACGACGCGAGCACGCCTGGGTCTACGCCCTATCTAGGAGGCCTCCACACATCGAAGAAGCAACACACTGCATACATATAAACTTTTGGCGCTTCGCGCGAATCTCCTGGATCCGCGCTGGGCACCCCAGGCGGCACCTCCGGCGCCGCCCTGGGCGCGCTCCGCGGCCCAGGGAGGGGAGTCCAGCGCAGAGCCAAGAAGTGGCGTTTTTGTTTCGTTTTCTAATTTGGGAGGCCTCCTCCTCCTCTCCCTCCTTGCTCCTCCTCCTCCTCCTCCCCCTCCTCCTCCTCCTCCTCCTCCTCTCCTCCTCCTCCTCCTCCTCTCCTCCTCCTCCTCCTCCCCCCCTCCTCCTCCTCCTCCTCCTCCTCCTCCTCCTCCTCCCTCCTCCTCCTCCTCTCCTCCTTCCTCATCCTCCTCCCCTCCTCCTCCTCCTCCTCCTCCTCCTCCTCCTCCTCCTCCTCCTCCTCAGGCCCCCACGGAGCGAGCCCGCGGCAAGCGCGTCGTCGGCCAGCTCGCCGCGCTCGAGACCGGGAGCGCGGGCCAGTACGCCGCGGACCTCAGGCAGCAGATAGCGCAGCGCGAAGGCCGGGGGCGGCGCTTCGTTGCGGGGGGAGGGGCGTGTGTAGTGTTGAGTCGGGCATGTTTCTCGACAGGAGGAGTATTCAAAAATAGTCAAACATAGCACGGGGACGTTTTGTGGAGTGTTTCTGAATATGTTCGAATATGTTCTGACTATTTTCCATCTTTCTTAGAAAATCCACCTGTAGGAGGACACGCCCGACCTAACTGTAATAGGTATGGTTGCAGCGGTGTGTGGTTTGCGATCAGCGCCGAAGGTCTGACAAGTCCTCGTCGGGGCGCGGCAGAGATCTCTGTCGAGGTCCAAGCCCGCCCCCCAGGCGCGGACTGCAAACCACACCCTTTGCAAACCACACCATTATTCGGAGTCGCCGACTGGGAGGGGGGGGCATGGATCCTGACCACATCGCCCACGACAGAAGGTTTGGCAAAATTCGGCCTCCTGGGACCCTCAGAAGGTCTGAGACAGACAAGAAACAGGCCGGTATGCGGAAAAGCCTGCCTCGAGCAAGTCGCCACGTCGGATGTTTTGGAAGTTGAGGAGGTCCAGGGTTGCAGGCCAGGGGCCCGAAAGGGGCCCCCTCAGGGCGGGGCCCCGAAGATGCACCAGAGGTGTGTGTGCCTTTCCCCCCCCCGGTTTTCCGCCCCCGCCCATTGCGGTCGGACCGAGGTGTAAGATCGAGGTCGGTTCGGGGAGGGTGCAGTCGGGGCCCTGAAGAAGGAGCCCTTTTTTCGTTGGGGAGGGGCTCCGTGTTCCTGAATTGTTTCGCAGTTTGCCTTGGAGGTTCCTCATGTTTTTCGACAGGAAATCGAAGGTTGACTTATGGAAAAAAGGAGCCTCGTTCCCTATTTAGGGTTCCTTCGGTCAACGCCCCGGCTGTACCCTGATATCCTTCCTGCTTGTTGAATGCTCCTGTGCATCCTGGGGGGGGGGCACCCTCGAGTGAGATCTGAGGGCCGGGGGTGCTGTGCCCGGCGGCGGGTCTCGTGCTCTCGGACGGAGGTGTAAGATCGATGATGATGATGATGATGATGAGGAGGAGGAGGAGGAGGAGGAGGAGGAGGATGAGGATGATGAGGAGGAGGAGGGGGAGGAGGAGGAGGAGGAGGAGGAGGAGGAGGAGGAGGAGGAGGAGGAGGAGGGTACCCTGATATCCTTCGTGCTTGTTGAATGCTCCTGTGCATCCTGGGGGGAGGGGCACCCTCGAGTGAGATCCGAGGGCTCGGGGGGTGCCGTGGCCGGCGGCGGGCCTCGAGTGTTCTCGAGGGGCGCTCGTCTGGCCCAGGCCCGGCTGTAGGCAGGAGGGGACAAAAACACACAGACACCATGAATCGCCGATTCTCGGGAAAATCTGCAAAAATATAGAAAGTGGGGGGGAGACAAAAACCCCCAAACATATAAGAAAATATACGGAATAGTTTCATGTGTGTGTGTTGATTTGTGTGTCCTGGGGCCCCTTCATGTAGGCAACGCCCCCGACAAGCCAGGGGCGTGCGGGGGCTCTGCATCGAGGTCCGAGGGCGTCCGAGGGTCGAAGGAGCTTGGCGTCCCTCGCCCCTTCAGGCTCAACCCCCCGGTGGACACCCGCAGATAACTACTCCAGAGACCGATGCTCGCGCCCGTGTCCTGCGGAGAGCAGGCAGCAGCCCCCTCCTGCAGCTCTAGGGAGCACGACCCGCATGGGGCGTTCCAAAAGGGGCCTTGCCTTCGCGAGTAGAAAGAGCTGCCATCTCTTCCGCGGCGGAAGGCCTGCGGAAGTAAAACGAGGCCGCCTCCGCGGGCGGAAGCCAGCGGAAGGGCGGCGCACGGTGGCGGAAGTAAACGATGCGTCCCCAAGAGATGGAAACGTTTTTGGGTTCAGGGTTTCCGAAATCGCCCACATGTGTACGCGACACTCTTATACCCGCTTGATAGCTAAACTAAACCTTGCATCTGGGCGGAACTGACAGCTGACGATGCTGAGATCACCGCCGCGCTGCACAATGCCGCATGCCACGCAGCAGCACCTCCAGCCCAGACATCTGGCGGCTCGCCCGGCGGCTCGAAAGAAGCGGACTCAGGACCCAGACGCGTCCCGAAGCAACCAGCAACGGCCAAGGCTCGTGCCGGCTTTCGGCCTCTGGCGGCCCTTCCTCCAATGTACCGTCGACAAAGGATTCGGGAGGACCAACGGATTCCGAGGATGGGTCGGGCCGGACGAAGGGGAGGGATTGGGAAAGGGGGGGTTACGAAATTTGCTGCATGCAGCTGGTTTCGGCCCCACCGAGGGGCCCATTCCTCGATGCATAGCCGCCTCCGGCGCCGGGAGGCGCCGGTAGAATGAGCTACGTGAGCTGATTCTCAAACCCCCTTTTGCGATCCCCCCCTTTTTGCCCGGCCCGAATGGGGTCGGGAGTCCCAGGCGCCAAGGTTGAGCCAATCGCGGCGTCGGGGGTGGGGGGGTCCAGGGCGGTGGCTGTTCGCAGGCCTTGGCTTGGGGAGGCCAGCTTCGGGCGCCGGGGCCATCAACGCACGATTCGGGAGGAGAGAGCTTCGAGTAGGGGATCGACTGCAGAATTGGTATACACCGAATGTGGTTCCCTCGTCGAAGGTACGAGAACTGCATCGAGACTCGCAGATCATTCCACGCATCTGTCGTAGATTCGACGAGAAAAAATCGAGTCTGGGCTAGGCCAGTTCTGTAGTCGATCTCCTACTCGAGTTCCGGAAGTTGGACCCCTGCAGGTCCCGATGGCGTCCCAGGGACCGGCCTTTCGTTCAGAGTGGGTTTCGTGGACGGCTCCGGGGCCTAGCAAGGGCGCCCAGACTTGGGCGAAATACTTCACGCCGAAACGGTGGTGGCGCTTGTTGAGGAATAGTCCCAGGAGGCGCCAGACCCTGGAGGATTCCTTATCCAATGAGGGCGGCGATGATATCCATGGCCGATCCACGATCGGAGTTTCACTGGCTTCCGGACCCTGGATTCCTTACCTAAGGGTTCCTTATCCAATGCCCCCCTCCGTCCGTAGCCATGTTGGCTCAAGGCCATGGAGCCCCCCCCGACGACCGCGAGTCGTCCGCGGCGTGCTGAGCGCGAGGGGCTCTTCGCTTTGGGCCAGAAGCGCGCCTTTTTGATTGAGAGTGTTAGGGGGCGGCGGCGCGCGGTCGCGACGGAGGGATGGGGGCCCCCGCGCGGACTGCAGCCGATGCTCCTGGGGCTCGCGGCGCCGGCGGCGGCACAGGCGCCTACTGGGTCTGCCGCTGTAGGCAGCGGTCCTTCCGCACGCGGGCCGAGTGCTGTGGGTGCCAGACGGCAGCGCCGCCCCGGGCCCGAGTTTATGGAGGAGGGGCCGCGGCTGCAGGGCCCGCCCCGCTCCAGCCAGACGCCGAGGGCTTCGTCGAGGCTGGCAAAGGGCAAGCGCGCGAGGCGCAAAGCCAGGGCCGCTGCAGCAGCCTGGACGGGCAGCCCAGCACGGGGCGACCGCGGCTCAGGCAGAGGTAGCAGCCCAGCCAGCAGCGGCGGAGGCAGCTCGCGGCAGAGCTCCAGAGCGTCGGACCTGGAGCGCCTCACCGCCCACCTGGAGGCCAGCCCTCGCTTGGATGCCGTGGCCGACGCCCCCCTCGAAGGGCAGCTGGCCTCGCTACGTGGCCATCGGGAGAAGGCGGCCGCGGAGCAAGCGCGGCACAAGGAGGCTGAGCTCACACCTGCTGATCGCCTTCGCAGGGCGGCCAACTTGGCCAGCAAGGCGGAGCGCAAGGCGGCTGCAGCTCGCAGGGCGCTGGAGGCAGCTGACCAGGCGGTGGCATCGGCGGAGAGGGCTGTGCAGGCTGCTGGCGATCAGCTGGAGGAGGCAGAGGAGCGCCGTGCAGAGGCCCGTGAGCGGTTAGCAGAGCTCGAGACGGCGGCGGCAGCCGCTAAGTCGGAGCAGGAGCGGATGCAGATCTTCGAGGCGGACTTGCAGGCGGTTCGTGGGCTCTTCCTGCAACTGCGCACGTTGCCCTCGGCCCGCCAGACTGGGAACTTCGCTGACGCCTGGCGGTCGACCATGCAGCAGCTGGAAGCTGTGGATTGGCGCTTCGCAGACCGCGACAGCTCGTCGGGGGTCTCAACCAGGGAGCACACGTACGACAGCTCCCCGCTCGATGTGGACGAGGACTCCGACGTGGAGCTCATGGGTGAGCTGGCGCCTGCGTCTGAGCGCGGGCAGGCAGAGCGCCGCGGCTCGGCCGCTGGTGTCTGGCCGCAGGTGCCAAGGAGTGCGCTGCAGGAGTTGATGGCCGAGGCATCCGACCTGGGCCCGCTGGCGACGGCACCTCCGAGCCGCGCGGCGGCGCCCGGCGGCCGCCTGCATCAGCTCTAGCAGCGGGCCCCTGGCGCGGCCCGCCTGGAGGCCGAGGCTGGCAGAGGATATTTCCACCCCTCCCTCTGCGACCCCTGTGGCCGCGATCAGCGGGACCTCGCGGGCGGAGACCCACGCGGCGCTCGAGCAGCTTCGGGGCCGCGGGAAACAGGGCGGCGCGTTCTTGGTGCGGGAGTCGCGCCCCCCCCGGTGGCGCGGCGCAGGCCGCGGCACGCAGCTGGTGCAAGAGGAACGAATTGCTGTCCGCGCTCGGTCCGCGCAGGCGCACTCAGCCGCAGGTGCAGAAGGGGTGCCCTGGAGCCGGCGCTTCGACAGCCCGCATCCGAGGCGTGGCCATGACTGGGCAGGACTGGGGCGACCTGGGGCACAGGGCCCTCGCTCGGCGGATTGCCTTCGGAGATCCGGCGATCGTGATCGCGGGCGTCTTCCTGGTGACCTCGTCGAGGCCCGTGGGGGTCTACCGCGAGCGGTTGGGCTGGAGCCAGGAGTTCAGCAACGCGGTCAACGCGTCCTTCCCTGCCGCGGGGGACTGGGACAGTGAGCCCCAGGGCCTCCTCTGCCCTTGGTGGCCGTGTTCCATCGGCGCGGCGCTGCTGGAGCCGCAGCGCGCGACGGGCGCCTTCAGGAAGTGCGACTACTTCGTGATCTCGGCGACGCCAGCGGTTTTCCCGTCGAGGTGGTGAGGAAGTTCCACGGAGCGGCGGAGCAGCGCCTCATCGCGGCCTCCGAGATCCAGGACGGCGACGCCGATATTGGACGCTCGCAGGGGCTGCGCCGCGTGCGCAAGTGCCTGACGGACCTGCAGCGAACGGTGACCGCGCGGGAGGTCAAACCGCGGATGAAGCCCTGGATGCTGCGGGGGCGGCTGGCGCGGCAGCAGGCAGCGGCCGCGGCGGTTCAGGCGGCCACCGCGGCGAAGCACGCCATGTCAGACGCCCAGATTGCCCGCAGCAGCTGATACGGCTTCCTGGACGACGCGCTGGTAGGAGGCGACAGGGAAGTCCATGCAGTCAACGAGCCGCCGCCAGGCCAGGGGCTCTCGCCCTCGGACTCCGAAGAAGGCCGCCCCTCGGCCCCGCTCGGTGGCCAGGCGGCCCGCGACCAGATCCGCCCTGGGTGGGGGCAGCTCTGGCTCGGCAGACGAGGGGCCAAGCGGGCGGGCCTGGAAGGGGCCGCCCGCTTGGCCCACCCGAGAGCTGGAAGGCCACCCGAGAGATGGAAGGCGATCAAGGACCTGTTCCTGATCATTGGCGAGGAGGTGCAGCAAGTGGAGAGGTCAGTTCCCGAGCGGACCGCGCGGGGATGGGATAGCATCCGCCCGAGCCTGCCGTCGCTGCGGGGGCGGCCCTTCGCTGTTCGCGCTGGCGCGCTGCTGACGGTGCGGGGGCGCGACCCTCGCCCCACGGGCCTCTTCGCCCCGCGGAGTGTCTGGGCCCGAGGCGTGGCCAGGTTCACGCCAGCGCTGGAGGTCCACGCGGCGGAGGTGGGGGCCCGCGACGGCTCGCCGACATGGGCGCGGGAGGAGATGAACTTCGGGGCGCCCGAGTGGGACGGGGCGGAGTCCAGACCGCGGCGGCGCGCTCCCCAGGCGCGGCGGCAGCGGCGGCGGCGCCGGCAGCGGCTTCGGCGCTGGGGCTTGCTGGCGCCGGGGATCCCGCCAGGCGACGCGCGGGCGCGCCCGAGGCCTGCGGCGGCGCCGGCTACGAGCAGGGCGGTCCGCCGAGGGCCGAGAGGCCTACAGGCCCCCAAGGAGACAGCGGCTGCGGCGGTCCCTGCGGACGGGGCGCCCGCCAGCGAACCCTGGGAGGTCCACGGCCAGAAGCTGATGATGGGGGTTCCAGAGGGCGGGGAGGTCGAGTTCATGGTCTACGCGGCCTGCTTCCTTTTCGCCAGAGCCCCGAAGATGGCCTGGAAAGGGCTCAGGGTCGAGCGCAAAGCTGCCGGCCACCAGCGCCGAGGGTCGCGGGCGCAGGCGCGCAGCGACATCGACCAGGGGCCGGTGCCGGACACCACGCCTTAAGCTGTTCTTCGGCGCTCTGGCTGGGCATTCCCCCGAGGCGCGGGGCCGCTGGGTCGAGAAGCTCGGGGTCGACCCGAGCGGCCAGGCGCGCGGGCCTGCGCCTGAGGCTTGCGCAGGCACCGAGGCTGGAGCCATTGTGCAGCGCCCCAGCAGCGCCAGCGTGGCAAGGCGCCGCCCGCGGGCGAGTGATCCGCGCGGGTGGCTGGCCTCTGCTCGCTGCCCATGGGCGCTGAGGCGAGGCCGCGCGGCTTGCGTCGGCGGCCGGGGCCTCGGCCGCGAGGCGGCGGACCGCCCGTGCGGGCGGTGGCGGCATTGGCCCGTGCGCGGGCCCTGCTTGCATGCGAACTGACAAGGCCTCGGCCGCGAAGAGAGGGGAACAAATACCCCAACCGTCTTTAACATGCAAAAATTCACTCACGGGAAGAGCAAAGCAAACATGCCCCCACCGATTTTTTTCACGACGCGGGGAGGTCTGGCACGTCAGCAGCCGCAGGCAGGTCGCAAAGCGCATGGTTCGACCCCGGCCTGGTTCCCTCGAGCTCTGCTCGAGCGGCCCAGGGCCGCGAGAAAAAGCTCGGCCCATGGCGAAAGGTTATTCCGCGCGGGTCGTCGCGTCGCGGAAGGGTCGCGATGTCGGGGGCGCGCTGTGTGTAGGGGAACGAAAAATGTGGGGCCCAAGAATATACACCACCACCACCACGTCGATTCCTCCTCCCTCCTCTACCTTCCTCTTCGTCTCCTCTTTCCTGGGAGAGGGACGGGGTGAGGGAGGTGGTGGTGGTGCATATTTTTGGGCCCCCCAAAGAAGGACATAAACATCAAACTCGGAGGTCCGCGCGGATTTCCCGGATCGGCGCTGGACCGCCCTGGCGGCGCCTCCGGCGCCGCCCCTGGCGCGGGGGTCCAGCGCCGATCCGAAAAATCCGCGCGGACCTCCGAGTCTTGAGTTTATGTCATTCTTCGTTCCCCTAGTGTGAGCAGGCCGGGATACGACCTGTGGTGGGGGCCCCCTTTCTCACTGCGCGTGCCCAATGGTGCGACCGTATCCTCTTCGCGGGCCAGACTTCGAGAGTCACCTTTCGGGGACCAAGCTTCCAGGACGTAGGTTTGAGTCGGGCATGCCCCTCTACAGGAAAAATGTTCAATGATGAGAAAAATACATGGTGACGATGTTGCGCGCTTTGTTGTTTATTGTTGATGATTGTTCAATTTCTATTGGTCCTCCAAAGTCCATCCACCTGTAGGAGGACATGCCCGACCTAAACTCAGGCCTTCTTCGTGCATGTTCGCCCCATTCTGGGCCCTTGCAGGGGACTCGCCATCACCACGTCTGGATCCGCCTCGAGATTCTCGTCGGAACACGCCCCAGAATCGGCGGTGAACCCAGGGGAGAAGTGAAAAGGGTCGGGCTTTCTAAGAAGGCACGGAAGTCCCCCAGTCTTCTGAGAAGTTCCCGATGCCTTCCCGAAGAAACAGAAAGCTTTTCAGAGGGCGCGAGGGCTTCTGAGAAGCCCAGCCGCCCTCTGAGGAGCCCTTCTCCTCCTCACTTCCCCCCCCCTTCGCTACCCGCCGACAGAAACAAGTCCCAGGGCCGACGCTGTCACTTCTAAACCCTGACCAGAAGATCGCGACGAAAGGCTTTTTCGTGATGTTCGACCTTCGGGGGTACGGGGGCCCCGGAGCTGCCCGAAGACTGCTCGGGATGAGGGGCCCGCCCCCGGGAAGCGGCCGAGGGGTCGTCGGAGAGCGGGGCCGGGATCGGGGGGAAATCGACTGTGAAGAGGCCGAGGAGCCGCTGATCGCAGTGGTCGTCGAGGGCTCGGACGACTTTGATTGAGTGCCTCCTCCTCCTCCTCCTCCTCCTCCTCCTCCTCCTCCTCCTCCTCCTCCTCCTCCTCCTCCTCCTCCTCCTCCTCCTCCTCCTCCTCCTCATGGGACAGACGGCCAAAAAAGGGGCCCGCATGACGGCCCCCGGGGGGCGCCGAGGCCGCGAGCCGAGCGCGCCCGCGGTGCTGGCGTCTCTCGCAGCGCCTGGGGCTCGAGAAGGCCTGCGCTTTGTTGCCGGCCCGATTCGCGCGATCGATCGGGGCCACGGCAGCAGCTTACACTATTTCAAGGGAGGAGAAAAAAACCGGACCTGACAATCGGCGTTTATTGCACGGCCCTGGGCCTTTGCTGAACAGCCTTGCCCTGTTCGGTTCCTCATATGGGTGCGTTTACGTGCCTTTAGCTACACGGCTTCGCGTGTCGGGGTCATCACTATGGGGGGGGATTTGCTGCTCACCGCCATTCATCCTGGGGGGGGGGGCACCCTGGCCCCACATCGCCCAGCCGCCCACGAGTGCTCTGCACCTGTGCGCTGCAGCCCCGCCCCGCCCGGCTTCCAGCAGAGCAAGGGCGCAGGGAGCAAGGGGACGCAGGGCGACGGGAGGCCGCAGGATGCCCACGTCCCTCGCTCGTGGCCCGCCCCAACCCCGCCTGGCCTCCAGCAGAGCAGGGCGCAGGGAGCAAGGGGCGGAGGGAGACGGGAGGCCGCAGGGTGCTCACGTGGCCTTCGCTCGTGGCCAGGTGCGCTGGGCTCGCTGGACGCATGCTCGGGGCCGCTCCCTCCGCGCGGACCTGCCTGTGGGCGAGGCACCGCGGAGGCACACGCTCTCAGAGGATGGGCTCGGGGCGGGATCTCGTCCCCCCGGGGGCCCCTGGCCTGGAGCTCCGCGGAGGGGTGAGCACGCCCGGGAGCCACGCGAGACGGCCCGGAGAGGACGCGGAGGCGAACCAGCAGGGGAGGTAGGCGGAGGACGGGGATGCCCAGGACGAGGAGGAGGAAACGGACAGGCGAAGAGGGCGTCGGCGGGAGAGGAGGAGGCAGAGGACCAGGGACAGGCGAAGGCTGAGGAGGAGGAGGAGGAGGAGGAGGAGGAGGAGGAGGAGGAAGTGGAGATGTTGAGGAGGAGGAGGAGGAGGAGGAGGAGGCGGATGATGAGGAGGAAGCGTGGAGGAGGAGGGCGGACGAGGAAGGCGGAGGCGGAGACGGAAGAGGATGTGGAAGCGACGAGAAGAGAATGGCCCGGGCACGCCTCGTCGCAGTCGTCCTCGTCCTGGTCGTCCTCGTCGTCCTCGTCCTCGTCGTAGTCCTCGTCGTCGTCGTCCGTCGTTGTCCCCGTCGTCGTCGTCGTCGTCGTCGTCGTCGTCGTCGTCGTCGTCGTCGTCGTCGTCGTCGTCGTCGTCGTCGTCGTCGTCCGTCGTCGTCAGGAGTTCCTTCAGGGGAGGGTCCCAGGCCTCCATGAGGCCCCTGGAAGAGGACCAGAACCGCCCAGACCAGAATCGAGCCTCGGACCTCATTCCACGCCGTGGGCCCGCTGGAGGTCTAGGCCACTTCCCCGGGATCGTCTTTTCCCAGAGCAGGCTTATGACGGTCCCGGGCCTGGCAAGGCTACCAGAGATTGAAGACTGTCAACCGCATTGTGGTGTGATTGTTGCCTGGCGCGAGGAGGCCTGGATGCGGGAGTCAAAATAAAAGACGCTTCGCGTCACCCCACCAGCCCATCTACACACGAAGCCCAGACGAGTTGTCCTGATCAGGGATGCGGAGGAAGGAGCATGCAGTGGAATAGTGGGTTTGCAAAGAAGTCATACCCAAGAGAAGGAGGATGGACGAGGAATCGGGGGAAGAGGAGTGGGGAGAGGGAGAGGGGGAGGCGGGCAAGTTAGGTGCGCTCGCGTCAACATCTGACATCCTACCCCTCCCTCCCATCCCTTACCATGGCGCTGATTTTCTCTATCCGCGGACGCGTGTCGTAGCGGACCTGTGGCTCCGCGCGCGTGTGCGTAGTGGGTGGTGGTGCGCGTGCGTGCGTGCGTGTGTGCGTGGTTGTGGTTGTTGTGGTGGTGGTGTGTATGTGTGTGTGTGTGTGCGTGTGTGCGCGTGTGCTGTGGTGTGACGTGGTGTGGCGTCTTGGTGGTTTGGTGGTGGGCCAGGTGCGTACGTGCGTGATGGCGGTGGTGGTGGTGGCGGTGGTGGTGTGTGTGTGTGTGTGTGTGTGTGTGGTGTGTGCGTGTGTGTGTGCGTGCGTGCGTGCGTGCGTGTGTGTGTGCGTGTGCGTGTGCGTGTGTGTGTGTGTGTGTTGTGTGTGTGTGTGTGTGTGTGTGCGTGCGTGCGTGTGCGTGTGCGTGTGCGTGCGTGCGTGCGTGCGTGCGTGCGTGCGTGCGTGCGTGTGTGTCTGTGTGTGCGCGCGTGTGATGTGGTGTGACGCGGTGTAGCGTGGTGGTGGTGGGTGGGGTAGTGCGGTGGTGGTGGCGGTGCGCGGTGGTGGTGCGCGTGCGTGCGTGCGTGCGTTGGTGGGTGGAAGTGGCGGTGGGTGTGCGTGCGGCGGGGCGGGGCGTGGTGCGGCGCGGTGGTGGCGGGCGGATGGGCGCGCGAGAAAGAGGCCCGCGCTGGGGCGAGAACGCCATCCTGAACGACGGAGGCAAAACACCGATCCGAAAATGAGGCCCACGCTGCAGCGGGAGCACGATTCGGAAGGATTCGGGAGCAGAAATGAGGCCGGCGCCTCAGCGAGAGCAGCATTTTGAAACAAAAACGCAGGCGAAAACCCAATTCCCGGGAATCCTGTGTGTAAAAAAACAGTACGCGGGGGGGGTCGAATATTTTCAGGCCGCCTTCGGGGGAAGAGGGAGAGTAGTATTCATATTGAGTATTTGTACATGGAGGGATAAGCGGATGGGGAAGAGGAGGAGCAGGAGCAAGAGCAAGAGGAGGCCTCTTGGATGCCTCTCGAAGTCTCTTCGGATGTCTCTTGAGAGCTTCTTGGAGTCCTCTTGGAGCGTATTGGGGGCCTCTTGGCGCTCTCCGGGGCCTCCTGCAAAGTCTTGGATGCCTCAGGGGAACCTCTTGGGGCCTCTTGGGCACCCCTTGAGGCACTCTTGGGAGCCTCGGGGGTCATCTTGGAGGAGATCGATCATCGATCAGAGAAGCGGGTTAGTCAGTTAGAGACCCCCCCCCAGAGGCCAAAGTGGCACCAAGCTGTAGTAACATCAGTGGTGTTGCCTTCTCACCGAGGCCTCTTTGGACGCTCCAATGTGTCGCGACCCCCCCCTCCAGACCCAGGGGGAGGGGGTGGGGGGAGGGGTCAAGCTACCCACCTAGATAACAGGCCGTCTAGCTCACTCCCACCCGCCCTCCCAACACGTAAGTAACACCCGAGTGTCAGCAGATCGCCTAATTAGGAACGCCGCACATGACTTGCGCGCCACGGGCTCCTGGTGCACCGGCCGCCCTGGAGGCCCAAGCGCGCCAGGTGCGGCACATGCTCCACGTGCGCCAGCTGTGCCACGTGCCTCCAGCCTTGCCAGGTGCGCCAGCTACGGGGAAGCAATATGGACCCCAGGTGCCTGCGGCCCTGGCCCCAAGGAGTTTAGCATCTTGACTCCCCTCCTGGAGCGAAGTGCCGAGCATTCCGTGTGAAGGGCGGCTCCTCCAGGCAGCGCACAGCACCGGCACCGATGGGCAAATGTTGGCATCTTGAGGAGTCGTGAGACAGATAGGAGCTCAGAGCCAAGAGGGCCCTGCGCATGTTCCAGATTCGGAGTCAAAGTGTTCTTTTGTCAGGGATGGTTGGCCTGCACGCAGCAAGCAATATGCCGGCACCCCCGACGTCCCTGTCAAAAACAGCCATAGTGGTCGCAGGGGGGGGGGGTCGCGCACGCGCCAGATTTGGAGGCAAAGTGTATTTCATTTTGTTTTGTTACAAGGGATGGTGGCGGGGGGGGCTCATTGGTCCGGGTTGGCTGCGGATCGCTTGGGGGAGGGGGTGTTTACTAGCGTGGAGCAGTTAAAAGCCCTTCCTCTAAGGGGAAGAAAGGGGGCTGGAAGAGGACACCCGCTTAGAGGGCTTGTTCTGGGGTGATCTCCGACGAGAACCTCGAGGCGGAGCCAGCCGTGGCGACGAGGTGCCTCACGGGGGGGCAGCACGAGCGAAGACACGTTGCCTCCTCAGCTCTGGAAGTTCGGTCTCCTGGGTCTTCCAGCCCCCCACCCTGCCGCAGGCATGATGACCGAGTGGAGGCAGATCGAGGACGCGCGCCTGGCGCGCCAGCTCAACGAGGCGCACCGGCAGGCGGCGGACCGGCAAGGACCCGCTCCACTTCGGCCAGGCCCCCGGAGACCAGGACACAGACAAACCAGGACACAGAACGCCAATGAAACGGCACCCTTTCCTGCAAAATCACAGTTTTCAGCACCCGTGCATTTGTTGTTTGCTGCGCTGCAGGATTCGGGTTTGGGTCTGGGTTCAGGGGGGTCTTGCAGGCTTTTAGGGCCCGTGTCCGGGTCAATTCTGGAAGTGCTCCAGTGCAGTATTTTGTTCGTGCTGCCCGCTGGAAGAATTGGTTTTGAGAAGTGTTGGGTGTCCGGGTCTAGCGTGTCCGGGTTTACGGGGCGCTGATTCGGCTGTGCCTTAGAGGGAGGAGGAGGAGGAGGAGGAGGAGGAGGAGGAGGAGGAGGAGGAGGAGGAGGAGGAGGACCCTTTGCCGGGATTGTCTGGTCCGGGGTCACAGGAGGCCCTTCGGCACTTCCCAGCATTGGCTTGTGCGCTTGGATCTGGCCTTCCCGCGGCCCCCTTTCCAGCCGCGCACCGAAAGTCACTCCTGCCTGGGGTTAGTCTTGTTGTGCGTAGCGCACACCTCGCGCGGAGGAACAAGTGAGGGGCGCAGGACGGGGGGGGGAGGTGAGGGGGAGGTGTGGAGGAAGGACCAGGAGACCTGAGAACTGGGCTGTCGCATCTTTTTTTTCTCATTGGGCGTTTTCGCGAGGCCTTGTCGGCCCAGGGATCATCAAAGCTCGATCGGCCGACGAATGCCGCAGACAGATTGGTCTAGGGCTCGCGCCGGTTGTGATGTTTTCCCCACATGTTTCGTGGGTTTCTGGTTTTCTTCCCTGCCGCGCGCACCCGCGTCTCCTCACATCCCTGCTCTCTTCATTCCTCTCTTCAAACAACCCGCGGTCCAACACATGCACGGCAAGTACATGAGACACGCGTCCTACTACAGCCACACGCATGCCACACTCGCACACACAAGACGCATGTTCACTGCTCATACACCCAGAAGACGTCTGACAAATCCGTGAGGGTCGTCCAGGCACGCAGGCATGGCATATTCTCGACACCATAGGGGTGCCGCAGGGGGTGGTTTCTTCTCACCGCGGCCGCTATCCGTGACGGTCCGCCCTAGGGCATAGCAGGCAAGGCATATTCTCGACACCATAGGGGGTGCGTAGGGCTGGTCTCTCACGGCGGCGCTGTCCGTGACGGTCGTCCAAGGCACAGCAGGCATGGCATATCTCGACACCAGAGGGAAGGTGCAGGGGGGTGTCTCTTACCACCGGCCGCTATCCGGCGGTCGTCCAGGGCACAGCAGGAGCAGGCATGGCATGGCAATATCTCGACACATTAGGGTGTGCGCGGGGGTGGTCTTTTCACCGCGGCCGCTAATCCGTGACGGTCGTCCGGGCACATCAGGCCATGGCGCTTTCTCGCACCAGAGGGGGTGCGCAGGGGGTGGTTCTCTCACCGCGGCCGCTATCCGTGACGGTCGTCCAGGGCCAGCAGGCATCGGGCGATATTCGCGACAACCGTAGGGGGTGCGCAGTGGTGGTCTTGCAAACCGCGGCCGCTATCGTACGGCCATCCAGTCACAGCAGCATGGCATATTCTCCGGTCGTCCAAGGGACAGCAGGCATGGCATATTCTCGACACCATAAGGGGGTGCGCAGGGGGTGGTCTCTCACCGCGGCCGCTATCCGTGACGGTCGTCCAGGGCACAGCAGGCACGGCATATTCTCGACACCAGAGGGTGTGCCCAGGGGGTGGTCTCTCACTGCGGCCGCTATCCGTGACGGTCGTCCAGGGCACAGCAGGCATGGCATATTCTCGACACCACAAGGGGGTGCGTAGGGGCTGGTCTCTCACGGCGGCCGCTGTCCGTGACGGTCGTCCAGGGCACAGCAGGCATGGCATATTCTCGACACCATAGGGGGTGCGCAGGGGGTGGTCTCTCACCGGGGCCGCTATCCGTGACGTCGTCCGGGCACGCATGGCATGGCATATTCTCGACACGAGGGGTTCGCCGGGGTGGTCTCTCACCGCGGGCCGCTATCCGTGACGGTCGGCTCCAGGCACAGCAGGCATGGGCATATTCTCGACACATTGGGGGTGCGCCAAGGGGTGGTCTCTCACCGCGGCCGCTATCCGTGCCGGTCGTCCAGGGCACAGCAGGCATGGCATATTCTCGACACCATAGGGGGTGCGCATGGGGTGGTCTCTCACCGCGGCCGCTATCCGTGCCGGTCGTCCAGGGCACAGCAGGCATGGCATATTCTCGACACCAGAGGGGGTGCGCAGGGGGTGGTCTCTCACCGCGGCCGCTATCCGTGACGGTCGTCCAGGGCACAGCAGGCATGGCATATTCTCGACACCATAAGGGGGTGCGCACGGGGTGGTCTCTCACCGCGGCCGCTATCCGTGACGGTCGTCCAGGGCACAGCAGGCATGACATATTCTCGACACCATAAGGGGGTGCGCAGGGGGTGGTCTCTCACCGCGGCCGCTATCCGTGACAGTCGTCCAGGGCACAGCAGGCATGGCATATTCTCGACAGCGTAGGGGGTGCGCAAGGGGTGGTCTCTCACCGCGGCCGCTATCCGTGACAGTCGTCCAGGGCACAGCGGGCATGGCATATTCTCGACACCATAGGGGGTGCGCAGGGGGTGGTCTCTCACCGCGGCCCGCGATCTTGACGGTCTCCAGGGCACAGCAGGCATGGCATATTCTCGACACCAAAGAGGGGTGCGCAAGGGGTGGTCTCTCACCGCGGCCGCTATCCGTGTTGGTCGCCCATGGCACAGCAGGCATGGCATATTTCCCCACATGTTTCGTGGGGTTCTGGTTTTCTGCCCCACATGTTTCGTGGGGTTCTGGTAATTTTCCATGCCGCGGCGCACCCGCGTCTCCTCACCTCCCCTCCTCCTCTTCACTCCTCTCCTCAACCCGCGGTCAACACATGCACAGCAAGTACATGAGACACGCGTCTACATACAGCCGCACGCATGCACACACTCGCACACACAAGACGCATGTTCACTGCATCATACACACAAGGCGTCTGCACAATCCGTGAGGGTCGTCCAGGGCACAGCAGGCATGGCATATTCTCGACACAATAGGGGGTGCGCAGGGGGTGGTTTCTCACCGCGGCCGCTATCCGTGACGGTCGCCCAGGGCATAGCAGGCAGGGCATATCCTCGACACCAGAGGGGGTGCGCAGGGGGTGGTCTCTCACCGCGGCCGCTATCCGTGACGGTCGTCCAAGGCACACCGCATGCGTGGCGTTCTCGACACCATAGGAGTGCGCGGTGCGCGGGGTTGGTCTCTCAGCGCGGCCTCTATGCGTGACGGTCGTCCAGGGGACAGCCGACATTGCATTTTCTCGACACCATAAGGGGTGCGCTGCGGGTGGTTTCTCACCGCGGCCGCTATCCGTGACGGTCGTCCCGGGCACAGCAGGCATGGCAGATTCTCGACACCATAGGGGGTGCGCAGGGGGTGGTCTCTCACCGCGGCCGCTATCCGTGACGGTCGTCCAGGGCACAGCACGCATGGCATATTCTCGACACCATAGGGGGTGCGCAGGGGGTGGTCTCTTACCGCGCGCGGCCGCTATCCGTGACGGTCGTCCAGGGCACAGCAGGCATGGCATATTCTCGATACCAGAGGGGGTGCGCAGGGGGTGGTATCTCACCGCGGCCGCTATCCGTGACGGTCGTTCAAGGCACAGCAGGCATGGCATATTCTTGACACCAGAGGGACAGCAGGAATGGCATACTCTCGACACCATAAGGGGGTGCGCAGGGGGTGGTCTCTCACCGCGGGCCGCTATCCGTGCGGTCGTCCAGGCACAGGAGGCATGGACAGATTCTCGACACAATAAGGGTGCGCGAGCTGCGTGCGCAGGGGGTGTCTGAAATGATTTACGCGGCCGCTATCCGCGACGGTCGTCCACCGCGCACAGCCCGCATGGAAGCGGCATCGACAGCGTAGGGGTGTGGTGGGGTATGGGTCTCTCACCACGCGCCGCATCCTTGGACGGTTCGCCCAGGGCACAGCAAGCATGGCAATTTATCGACACCATAAGGGTGCTCGACACCATAAGGGTGGGCGCAGGGGGGGGTCTCTCACCGCGGCCACTATCCGTGACGGTCGTCCACTGCACAGCAGGCATGGCATATACTCGACAGCGTAGGGGGTGCGCGGGGGGTGGTCTCTCACCGCGGCCGCTATCCGTGACGGTCGTCCAGGGCACAGCAGGCATGGCATATTCTCGACACCAGAGGGGGTGCGCAAGGGGTGGTCTCTCACCGCGGCCGCAATCCGTGACGGTCGTCCAGGCATGGCATATTCTCGACACCAGAGGGGGTGCGCAAGGGGTGGTCTCTTACCTCGGCCGCACCGTGACGGTCGTCCAGGGCCAGCAGGCATGGCATTAGTCTCGACACCAAAGGGGTGCGCAGGGCTGTGGGTCTCTCCCCGCGGCCGCTATCCGGACGTTCGCCCAGGGCACAGCAGCATGGTGGCGCTTTCTCGGACACCATAGGGGGTGCGCAGGGGGTGGTCTCTCACCGCGGCCGCTATCCGTGACGGTCGTCCAGTGCACAGCAGGCACGGCATATTCTCGATACCAGAGGGGGTGCGCAGGGGGTGGTCTCTCACCGCGGCCGCTATCCGTGCCGGTCGTCCAGGGCACAGCAGGCATGGCATATTCTCGACACCATAGGGGGTGCGCAGGGGGTGGTCTCTCACCGCGGCCGCTATCCGTGCCGGTCGTCCAGGGCACAGCAGGCATGGCATATTCTCGACACCATAAGGGGGTGCGCAAGGGGTGGTCTCTCACCGCGGCCGCTATCCGTGACGGTCGTCCAGGGCACAGCGGTATCGGCGGGGCAACGGCCACCAACATCATTCTCACATGCTTCACTTCAGCCCTCATCACTCCAGCCATAATATAAGTATGTGGGGTTCCTCGGTAGCGTAATTCGAAGGTCGCGTGGAGGGCAATGTGAGGCCAAACGTTGCAAACCACCTAGGGACACGACGTTGCGAAACAAAATGCAACGTCGCGAATCACTGCGACTGGAGCCCTAGACCCCCATCTCTCGGTCTGTGGTGGCCACAGTCCCGAAGCCTGGCGAAACCACCTGAGGTGAAAAAGATGCAACGCCCGAGTCTGAGGGAGGACCCGTTTCCTCAGAGGCATCCTAGTTGAGGTCCGCGTATACGGGGCCCGAGGATTGCACCGCGTCGCCGATGCATCGACGATGCATCGGCGACGCCGGCGCGGAGCAAATCGGGCTCCACATCGAGTCGCATCGCCGATGCATCGCCGATGCGGCGCAGTCCTCAGAACCAATATACTCGGACACCATCCAGGAGGCCTACATTTCTAAGAACCTCTTGTGGTCTGCACGGAATGTTGTTTGAACACTTCTGACTGAGACTGTCTTGTTTGAACGCATCGGGCTTATGTCCTGAGATCATTGTTTCGGCTCTTAGAGCGCGTCTGCGCTCTAGGAACTCGGGAGCGGCCAAGAGGGGGGTGTCCAACAGGGGGGGGGTTCGAATCATGACCAGCGGCATGTGCGCGGCCCAGCGGGGGGGCCAGGGACGTAATGAAGTAAGAAGAGGCGCTATGAGATCTTGGGAGATATCATGGCCCCCGCCATGAAATCCCCCCCCCCT